AAAACCAAACCCATCTAATGTTGACGGCCCCCCGCAAACGTATAGAGGACCACGATCTGCGAATCTGCACTTGGAATGTGCGCACGTTGTACAGAAGAGGCGCAGTGTTCGCTTTGGCGGATGTACTCAAGAAGTACAAAGCCGATATTATTGCCTTACAGGAAATGCGATGGAAAGGGACAGGCGTATGTAAATCAGACGATTACGCCCTGTATTATAGCTGCCATGAAACGAGACATGAATTTGGCTGCGGATTTATGGTTAACAGGAGAATAAACGATCTCGTCTCCAGATGCACTCCAGTAGATGAACGTATAAAAGTGAAGTTCTTCTACATCAGACATATATTTGCGCCCATGCTCCGACCGAAGATAAAGATGAACAGACCAAAGACATATTTTACGAGCGCATAGAAACAGCATATGATCGTTGCCATGGCCATGACATTAAAATTCTGCTAGGAGATTTTAATGCAAAAATCGGAAGGGAAATATATTTGGCCCCACCCGTCGAAAAATTCAGCCTTCATGAAGAAACATCAGACAACGGCATGAGGTTGATTGACTTCGCAGCAGCAAAAAAACATGGTAGTTATCAGCACCAGATTCAAGCATCTCGATATACACAAGGCCACTTGGATTTCTCCCGATCGAACAACGAGAAATCAAATCGATAATGTTGTGATAGACGGAAGGCATTCATGCAGTATTTTAGACGTCCGATTGATCCGTGGAGCGAATATCGATATGGACCATTACCTTATGGCAGCCAAAGTACGCACCCGTCTTAATGTTGCAGCAAAGGTGCGATCTAATACAACACGGAAACTCGACGTCGAAAAGCTGCAAACACAACAGGTACTCCGCTCAACTTACCCATCTGCTTGAAGAAAGCACTTCTTGTCCCGATAATAGTATAGAAGCACAATGGCAAAGAATTGCCCACTCCCTACAAACTGCAGCAAAAAGAACAATTGGGCACCAAAAACCACCACCAAGAAACCCATGGTACGATCAGGAGTGTCGTAATGCTACTGATGTGAAAAACGCAGCGTATAGGGCAACCCTGCAGACAGTAGCAACACGTAACGTGATGGAGAATTATCGGGAGAAAAGGAGAGAGGAGAAACGTGTTTTCAGAAAAAAGAAGAAAGAACAAGAAAAACGTGAGCGTGAGCAAATCGAGATGTACAGGAGTCAGAATGAAGTCCGGACATTTTACCAACGAGTAAAACACCAAACCGAAGGCTTTGGTGCAGGCACATCCTCCTGTAGAGATGAAGAAGAAAACCTGGTGACAGATACAGACAGCGTGTTGAGGATCTGGAAGGAGCATTTCGAAAAGCTTCTAGTATCAAATAGTGGCGATGAAGAAGATACCCCAGAACCAATAAGAGATGATGGTATAGAGTGTATACCACCTAGCCAAGATGAGGTCATAAAAGCAATTAATCTGCTCAAGAACAATAAAGCAGCAGTAGCCGACGGGTTACCAGCCGAACTATTCAAGACTGGTGGTCAGATGCTGGTCAGGTGCATGCACCAGCTGATTAGTACAATTTGGCTAAAGAAATGCATGCCCAATGGTTGGAACCTCAGCATCCTGTGTCCCGCGCACAAAACAGGAGACAAGACGATATGTACTAACTATAGAGGAATTGACCTTCTTCCCATCGCATATTAAGTGCTATCCAGTGTGCTGTGTGAACGATTGAAGCCAATGGTCAGTGACATTATTGGACCATACCAATGCGGCTTCAGACCTGGCAAATCCACCATTGACCAGATTTTCACTCTGCGCCAAATCCTAGGAAAGACCCACGAAAAACACATCGGCACAATTAACAAGATCTGTAGATAAAGTCGGAAAGGACCTATCGAAGCCCTTCACCACCGAACGAGGATTCAGACAAGGTGATAGGTTTGTCGTGTGAACTATTTAACATCCTGCTGGAAAAGGTCATACGAGAGACAAAAGTGAACAGAAATGGCACTCTGTACACCAAAAAACACCATATACTCCCCTACGCCGATGACATCGACATAATGGATCGAACATTGAGAGCGGTAACAGCCACCTTTTAACAAATTGAGAAGGAGTCTGCCAAAGTAGGTTTGGCAGTAAACGGCGAGAAGACCAAGCGGATGGTATCAACGCGCAGGACGTCCAGTAGACTCGGATCAACTGTGGAACTTGAGAACTACAGCTTCGTGGTAGTTAAAGATTTTATATACCTTGGTACCGAACGAATGACATCAGTTTTGAAATTCGGAGAAGGATTGTGATGGCCAATAGATGCTACTATGGTCTAAGTAAGCAGTTTAAAAACAAGCCCACCTCCCATCGGACCAAATTCACACATTACAAGACGCTAATACTACCCGTGCATCTGAAGCATGGGTACTAACGCAAGCAAATGAGGCAGCTCTTTAGGTGTTTGAAAGAAAAATACTGCGAAAGATCTACGGGCCGATCTGCGTCGACGGTGAATATCGGCGTCGAATCAAACACGAGCTTTACAATTTATTTGCGGACATCGATATAGTCGGTCGTATTGAGCTGCAGCGACTACGATGGCTAGGCCATGCTGTGCGAATGAATGAGAATGTCCCACCTCAAAGGGCATATAAAAGCGAGCCTACTGATGGCTCACGTAGAAGGGGAAGGCCCCGAATTGAATGGAAAGACCAAGTAGAGAACAACATCTTGGAACGTGGTCTTTCAAATTGGCGGAAATGCGTACAAGACCGACGCATTTTATTTTTTAGAGAATCCACACAAAATATCGACTAGTGGGTAACGTTGTATGGGGGCCACCCAGAAATATGGGATATTGAGGTGTACCCGTAAATGATGGACTGTACCAAAACGTCCACCGATATTTTCGAATTTCAATATCAAACATATAAGGAGTAGTGGCAGCAATCTATTTGCAAAATTTCACCGCTCTACCTTATGCTGGAGGGTAAAAAATACTTCACATTTTTTTCGCTTCTATGCACATATATTTATACCCTGCACCACACTGTGGTACAGGGTATTATGTCTTTGATAGACCCATGGTTCCTTTTGAGACTATGCATAGAATCACTTTCTGAGTCGATTTATGCATGTCCGCCCATCTGTCCGTCAGCCCGTCCGTGTATGTATTTTTGTTCACAAAGTACAGGTCGCATTTATGATCCGATTTGGATGAAATTTGGCACAGGTCACTTAATTGGCCCAAGGACGAACCCTATTGAAATTGGAGAAAATCGGTTCAGATTAAGATATAGCTCCCATATATATTTTCGTCCGATTTTATGTAAATGGTGTACCAATGTCCCTATATATCATTCGAGTTGCATGAAATTTGGTATAGCAAACTGAATTGAGTCTAGAATAAAGTGCGCGAAGTTTCGCGAAAATCGGTTCAGATTTAGATATAGCTCCCATATATATTTTCGTCTGATTTTAGGTAAAGGGTGCACCAAAGTCCCTATATATCTTTCGATTTACACGAAATTTGGCACAGTGTACTGAATTGTGTGTAGAATGGCGTGGGTTAAGTTTCGTGAAATTCGGTTCAGATTCAGATATAGTCCCCATATATATTTTCGTCCGATTTAATGCAAATGGTGCACCAAAAACCCTGAAAATCATTAATTTTGCACGAAATTTGGTATAGCGTAATGAATTGAATCTAGAATGATCAGTGCTGAGTTTCGGGATAATCGGTTCAGATTTCGATATAGCTCCCATATATATTTTCGTCCGATTTTAGGTAAATAGTGCACCAACGTCCCTATATATCCTTCGATTTGCACGAAATTTAGCATAGCTTACTGAATTATGTCTAGAACGATTCGTGTTAAATTTCGTGAAAATCGGTTCAGATTTAGATATAGCTCCCATATATAGTTTCGTCCGATTTAATGTAAATGGTGCAGCAAAGTCCCTATATATCTTTCAATTTGCACGAAATTTGGCACAGCGTAATGAATTAGGCCTAGAATGATGAGTGCTGAGTTTCGGGATAATCGGTTCAGATTTCGATTTAGCTCCCATATATATTTCCGTCCGATTTAATGTAAATGGTGCTCCAAAGTCCCTTAATATCTTTCGATTTGCACGAAATTTGACACAGCGTAATGAGTTAGGTCTAGAATGATGTGTGTTAAGTTTCGTGAAAATCGGTTCAGATTTAGATATAGCTCCCATATTTTCGTCCTTTTAAGGTAAATGTTGTATCAAAGCCCCTTAATATCTTTCGGTTGGCACGAAATTTGGCACAGCGTAATGAACTGCAGAATGACATGTTTTTGGATACAATTTCATTTTACTGGTCCTTTAAAAATGCGACGTCTGTTAGGAATCATTTGTTAAATATACCCAAAGTGGTGAAGGGTATTATATAGTCGGCTCCGTCCGACTTTACTACTTTCCTTACTGGTTTTCATATTATTTAATTTTGTTGTAGCTTCCTACTTTACTACTCGAGTCGTTCCGTATTGTAGACCCACTGGGTGGTTTATACTTACTGTCGTCTATGTATCACAAAGAAAATAACAAAAATGTATTTTCTGTTTTTATTTTTTTATTAAATGTTTTTGATTATAAAATAAAAAAAAATGTTTTTCTTTTTTTACTTTATGACTATAAAATAAACAAAATACATTTTTTTTTGTTGTTGTCGCTTTAAAACTATTTATGTAAGTTTACATAAAAAAATAGAATTTCTTATAGTTTATATCAAAATGTTTGTAAATCGAGCTTAAATTAATAGAAAAATAAAACTTTTAAGAAATTGCAAACATGATGAATAATTTGTTTTAAAAAAATTTTGATTGCATAAGGGAAACGAAGTAAAATCGAAAACAACAAAAATCTGATCAACAGATATACCAGGAGTGTAGCAAAAACAAAAAATTCCAAATCATACACTTATGTATGTGCTTACAAATAGTTTAGTTAACTTATCTCCGCCCCCCGGACCCCACCTCCTCCTCCTCGTCATCTGTCTAATCCGAGTAACTATCACTCCAATAGGTTGTTGTCAACGGTGCCACCGTTTTAAATAGATCCTGGCCGACCACAAAACTATTCGCATCATTGCCTTTTTTATTTTTACCATTGCCATGGCAACGATTCTCGTGACTTTCCAAGCGACTGGCCGAGACAAATTTCCTCTTACATTTCAAACACTCAAGTATGGAACCCGATTGACTGTGCGACTCTATCATATGCCTCCTCAGCTCTATGTTACTGAAAAAAGTCCGAGAACATTTTTGACATTTGATGAGATTTTTCTCGTCACGATGTCGTTCCATGTGCGTGCGATAGGCTCCCTTTATTTTGAACATACGACCACAAATCTTGCAGGCAATCGGTTCGCGTTCGTTCGTGTGTACCTTACGATGCAGCACCAACGACTGCTTACGATGGAAGACATGATCACATTCATCACAGGCGAAGACTTCTGGTGAAGAATTATCCGAACGTTTTCGTTTGTGATTGCCAATGGGGTCGCCATCATCTTCATCATCCGAAGAACCATTTACCGATTTGCCACTTTTTGATTTGGAGGATTTCGATTTGCGTCGTTTCCGGCCCTTCTTCTTCTTACTTTTACTGTCATCCGACTCCTCGGAGGACACTGAATCTTCACTGGGCGAAACACTGGCAATGTCGGAGACTTTAAATTCCTCATCATTCGACTGTTCATCATCTGTGGCAGGATCGGAGTCAAGCGGGGCATCGATGACCACATAACCCGTAGGACGTCTGATTTTATTTTTATGCCGTGACAGCTTCTTGCGCAACTCCTTTTCCGTCGTTTCACACTGCTGTTTAAGTTGTACCGCCTTCAGGACATTATCCAGACATCGATTGCAAATGAATTGTGGTAGGAAATCTTTGATAGCTATATGCACCGAGGGACAGATGAGCATCAGCATATCGGCCACCGTCTGTTGATCCTCCATTTTTTTGAACAGCGTTACCAGATTGTCTTTGTTGCAGCAGACACGACATTGATTTTCATCGACCTCCTCCTCTTGTTGTTTTCGTCGAAGTGTTGAGGAACTGGCGGGAGTAGCCTCCGCTTTATCGGCATCATTGTCCGATTTAGCACCCTCCGTTTCAGATTTATCTTTTTCATTAGTTTCTTTATCCGTTCGAGTTTCCGCTGCCTCTTCTTTAGCAGCTTCATCATTTTTAGTTACATTTGTCTCATCCCCATCCTCCTCCTCCTCAACTTCTTCCTCGGCCGATTCAGTGGCTTCTTTATTACGTATAACTATGGGTGCAATGCCATCGTCGGGTATAATAGCTTCACCTTCATCTTCCTCCTCCTCTTCTTCTTCGGCCTCTTCCTCCTCCACCTCTTCGTCTTCATCGTCCACAACCTCTTCAACTTCGTCATCATCGTCGGCATCATCTTCAATGGCCACGACATCATCATCAGCTTCTTCTGTGGGTTTTTCTTTTTCATTGGACTTTTTGGAGCTTTCATTTTCTGTGATCTTGTTTTCCTCAGTGACGACAACCTCAGGGGTATCTTTTCCGGACGTTTTCTCCTCATCGGGGGTTTCCTTGTCCTCGCTCGTTTCTATCGGTTTATCATTTTGAGCTTCATTGATTTTATTATCTGTGCTATTTTGTTCCTTACTGGTCTCCACCACCCCATCCGTTGGTTCCATGGCCTTGGATGGTTCTGCACTAGTTGAGGTCTTTTCGATTTCGGCTTTATTCACAATTTTATTTGGACTTTCTAATACTGCTTCGTTTAGGGATGGAGTTATAGGTTGTGTTTCGTTTTGTCTTAACATTTCTGTGGCTGGTGTAGGATGATATCCTACATTGAGAACATCGAGATGGGAACTCTGCAAGAGATTAATAATGTGGGGGTTTCCATTTAAAATCGGAAGATAAAGCAACTTGAAATATAATTGCGTTCTTAAAGTATCCTCTATTTAGAGATGCTATCCTCCTTACTATTAACACCTGTCAAAGGTATTTCGTCTAAAGAAGGTTAATAGACGTTCTGGAGATCTGGAGAATATCTAAGGCCGATAGGAGACTTAAGGTCTTTAATAGACTTAAGATATACGTAGCCCTATGGTGTATAGATTTACTAACCATTGAAGGGCCTGGGAAGGTCAGAAGATGTTACCAAGGCCATCTGAGAACAAAAGACCTACTTAAGAAGACTGTAGCAGGGTAAAACACTTACTGAAGACAGGGCAAGTTGAAGAATTCCTATAGAAACATTAATTCAGCCAGGCTGAATTGAAGATTTCCTATAGAAACCTTAATTCAGGCAGGCTGAATTGAAGATTTCCTATAGAAACCTTAATTCAGGCAGGCTGAATTGAAGATTTCCTATAGAAACCTTAATTCAGGCAGGCTGAATTGAAGATTTCCTATAGAAACCTTAATTCAGCCAGGCTGAATCGAAGATTTCCTATAGAAACGTTAATTCAGTCAGGCTGAATAGAAGATTTCCTATAGAAACGTTAATTCAGCCAGGCTGAATTGAAGATTTCCTATAGAAATCTTAATTCAGCCAGGCTGAATCGAAGATTTCCTATAGAAACGTTAATTCAGTCAGGCTGAATAGAAGATGTCCTATAGAAACGTTAATTCAGCTATGCTGAATTGAAGATTTCCTATAGAAATCTGAAGATTTCCTATAGAGACTTTAATTCAGACAGGCTGAATTGAAGATTTCCTACAAAACACCCCTATTCAGCCATGCTGAATTGAAGATTTCCCATAGAAACCTCAATTCAGCCAGACTGAATTAAAGATTTCCTATAGAAACCTTAATTCAGACAGGCAGAATTGAAGATTTCCTATAGAAATCTTAACTCAGCCAGGCTGAATCGAAGATTTCCTAAAGAAATCTTAATTCAGCCAGGCTGAATCGAAGATTTCCTAAAGAAATCTTAATTCAGCCAGGCTGAATCGAAGATTTCCTTTAGAAACCTTAATTAAGCAAGGCTGAATTGAAGATGTCCTATAGAAATCGTAATTCAGCCAAGCTGAATTGAAGATTTCCTATAGAAACTCACAATATTTTTTATTTACCCTCCTGAAGTCTTCTTACGTTGGTCTTCTGTTCTTAAATGACCTTGGTAAAATCTTCGGGTCATTCATAAAATATTCAGAATTTCGTCTATCAACAGAACGCCTTCAGTAGGTCACCTGTTCATAGATGTCCACCTATGAAGTAGTTTTTCTACAGAAGACCTACATGATGCCGATATCAAAAAGTTCAGCTGGATAAGTTTTTCTGTGTATAGGTGTATAGTAGTCGTCCCAAAGTTATCTGTGTGGGAAGTTCGAAATGATTCTAATTTGATTCTTAATATGAGGATTGCCGACTGAAGACCGGTTGGAAATCTCTTAATGAAAATTCGCCAGCCCATTAAAGTTCTATTTGAATTATCTTCTATATTGAAGGCTGACCTTCGATTTATAAACGATTTCTGGTGGGTCCTCCCTTTAAAACATATCCTAATCTCAGTCAAATTTTAGATTCCACTCCCATCCGACAACTTACCTCACCAAAAAAGCCCGTCAGCGGCAAATGGGCAGCATTGACATTTCCCGCATAATTTGCCGTTGGACCAATAGGCTGTGGGGGCTCAACTGGCCCAGGCCCCTCGTGACCAGCAAATTGTTGAACCAGCGATGAGGGCAAACTGACGGTAGCTGACGAAGACACAGGATTTAAGGGCTGCAGTTCATGATGCATTTGGGGTTGCTGCAGTTCTTGCGGCTGCATTTCCGAGGGTGGCACCTGATAAGGCTGGCCATTGGGCAACGGCATTAGTAGCTGGCCATTGCCATCGACATTCATCATGGGCGGTAGAGAGGTTAAATTGTAATCCGAATTATCCATTGTTCATTTGTTAGGGTGGGGGAAAGGGTTAGTGACCGATTCGTTTGTTTAGAAGCTAAGTTTGCTTTGATTTGTCAAAAAAAAAAAATATATTTTTGTTTATGGATTGTGTTTTTTCTTGTTTTGTTTTGCTACCACAATTTCATCTGCTTCACAAAGAGTAAGAAGAAGCACAATGAAAAAAATTGTGCGCTTGTTTGTAGATCACAAAAAAATCGGAATTTGTGTCTGTGTGTGCGTCCAATTAAAATGCAACCGTATAATGAAAAAAAAAACACAAAATTTGCAATAATTTATGCTGCCCAATATCTTTTGGGTTTTGTTGTCTCTTTTGTTCTCCTTCACGTTGTTTATTTATTTTTTTATTATTGTTTTGGTTTTCCGCTGAATTTCCATACAATTTGTTGAATTTTGTGCAAATATTTTCAGCTATTTTTCATTCATCAGTCAATTGGATAGCAGCAGCAGCGGCTTTTCTTGTTTTTTCTTGTTCATTGAAGCAGCCAAGACAAAGTCATTCATGTTCCTCCCATAGCCAGACGACGCTTTTTAACAACACTTTTCTTATTTGTTATTGTTTCACACAATTGATTCCTTATTGTAATTTATTATTCATTTATTTATTTACAATTATGCATTTGTTTAGATTTCTTTATTATTGCTGTTTGGCAAAAATTTTTAATAAATTATTCACTTTTTCGTTCTGGAAATGCAAACACAACACCGAACACCGAATTTTTCTCCGATTATTTTTTCTGTACACCAGACAATGACAGTTCGCTATTGTGAATGGTCATGATGTCTCTGCTGTTATTGGTGTACTGCATTGTGAATGAGAGCGAGCAAATGAGAGGGAGAAACTTGTACAGTACAGCGGTTGTTTGCTTGCAATGGCAATTATTCTTATTGCACATGCCAAGAGAGTTGTATGTGAAAGAGAGGTCGTACGACACAAATGAATATATACCACAGAAGTATTCAGTACAAATAAATCTGATATATAATTTAAAAATTATAAATGAAATTAAAAATATTAAAAATATTGAAAAGAAGTCTATATTTATTTCACCCATTTGTAATGCATGCTACGCCTCTCTCCAAGCCAAAAATAATAATAAATGAAAACAAAATATTAAAAATTAAGTGAAAAATATTTAAAAAAACTTATATATATTTCATTAATATATATTTCATTAAAAAATAACAAGGCGTAGATTTTTTAAATATTTTTTTTTCGAGGCCTAATAAAGAGAAAGAGAACCAATAATAGATGACGGTATAGAGTGTATACCACCTAGCCAAGATGAAGTCAGAATATCAATCAATCGACTGAAGAATAATAAAGCAGCAGGTGGCGATGGTTTACAAGCCGAACTATTCAAGACTGGTAGTCAGTTGCTGGTAAGGAGCATGCACCAGGTGATTAGTACAATTTGGCTAGAAGAATGCATGCCCAATGATTGGAACCGCAGCATCCTGTGTCCCGTGCACAAAAATGGAGACAAGACGATATGTGCCAACTATAGAAGAATAAGACTCCTTCCCATCGCATATAAAGTGCTATCCCGCGTACTGTACATTATTGGGCAATACCAATGCGGCTTCAGACCTGGCAATTCCAATATTGACCAGAGTCAGAGCAAGACTCAGAGCCAAATCTTGAAAAAAAAAACACGAAAAACACATACATCGACTATAAAGCCTAATTCGACAGCCCTATCTTTTCAGAGGTGTATCAAGCCATGTCTGCGTTTGGCTTTCCTGCAAATTTAATTCGGCTATGCAGGATAACTTTAATTGGCACAATATCAGCAGTTAAAGTCGGAAAGAATCTCTCGGAGACCTGTAATACCGAACGAGGATTCGTGTGACCTTTTTAACATCCTGCTGGAAAAGGTCATACGAGAGGCAAAAGTGAACAGAAATGTCACGCTGTACACCAAACAACACATGTTACTCGCCTACACCGATGACATCGATATAATGGGTTGAACATTGCGAGCGGTAACAGCCACCTTTGAACAAATTGAGAAGGAGTCTGCCAAAGTGTGTCTGGCAGTAAACGGCGAGAAGACCAAGATGATGGTATCAACGCGCAAGACGTCCAGTAAACTCGGACCAACTGTGGAACTTGAAAATTACAGCTTCGATGTAGTCAAAGATTTTATATACCTTGCTACCGCCATAAACAAAACGAATGACCTCAGTTTTGAAATTCGGGGTAGACAAACAGATGCTACTATGGTCTGAACAAACAACTCAAAAGCAAGGCCACCTCCCGCCAGACCAAACGCACACTCTACACGACATTGATACTACCCGTGCTGTTATATGGATCTGAAGCATGGGTACTTACGCAATCAGATGAGCCAGCTCTTTGAGTGTTTGAGAGAAAAATTCTCCGAAATATCTATGGGCCTGCGTTGACGGCGAATATCGCCATCGAATGAACCATGAGTTGTACCAGCTATTCGCGGACATCGACACTGTTAGACGCATTGAGCTGCAGCGACTACGTTGGCTAGGTCATGTTGTGAGAATGGATGAATATGCCCCATCCCAGACGGCATATAAAAGCGAACCAGCTGATGGCACACGCAGAAGGGGAAGGCCACGAATACAATGGAAAGATCAAGTGGAAGATAACATTGCCGAATATGGTCTTTCAAACAGGAAAAACTGCGCAAAAGACCGACACGCCTGGAAATCTTTTTTAAGCTCGGCATATGGAACGAAAGTTCCCTGCAAATCGAAAGATATATAGGGACTTTGGTGCACCAATGAAAATATATATGGGAGCTATGTCTAAATTTGAACCGATTTTCACGAAACTTTGCACACATCATTCTAGACCTTATTCATTACGCTGTGCCCAATTTCGAGCAAATCAAAACATTTCTAAGGACTTTTGTGGACTATTTACCTAAAATCGGGCGAAGCTATATATGGGAGCTATGCCTAAATCTGAACCGATTTTCATGAAACTTTGCAAACATTATTCTGGACTTAATTTAGTATGCTATGCCAAATTTCGAGTAAATCAAAACATTTCCAGGGACTATAGTGGACTTTTTACCTAAAATTGGGCGAAGCTATATATGGGAGTTATATCGAAATCTGAACCGTTTTTCACGAAACTTTGCACACATCATTCTAGACTTAATTTAGCACGCTATGCTAAATTTCGTGCAAATCGAAAGATATATAGGGACTTTGGTACACAAATTACCTTAAATCGGACGAATATATATATGGGAGCTATATCTAAATCTCAACCGATTTTTACGAAACTTGGCAGACACTATTCTAGACCGTATTCAGTACTCTATGCCAAATTTCGTGCAAATCTATAGATATATAGGGACTTTGGTGTCCCATTTACCTTAAATCGGACGAAAATATATATGGGAGCTATATCTAAATCTGAACCGGTTTTCACGAGATTTGGCACACATAATTCTAGACTTAATTCCGTACGCTATGCCAAAATTCGTGCAAATCGAAAGATATATAGGGACTTTGGTAGAGAATTTACCTTAAATCGGACGAAAATATGTATGAGAGCTATATCTAAATCTGAACCAATTTTCTCGAAACTTAGCACACATTATTGGGGACCTAATTCAGTTCTCTACGCCAAATTTCGTGCAAATCAAAATATATATAAAGACTTTGGTACACAATATACCTTAAATTGGGCGAAGATATATATAGGAGCTATATCTAAATCTCAACCGATTTTCACGAAACTTGACAGACATCATTCTAGACCTTATTCATTACGCTGTGCCAAATTTCGATATATATTGCACAATTTACATAACATATATATGGGAGCTATATCTAAATACCCTTTCAATAGGGCCAAACAAATGAGCTGTGCCAAATTTCATCCAATTCGGATCGTATATGCGACCTGTACTTTGTTTACAATTTAACATGGACAGGCGAACGGGCGGATATGCATAAATCGACACAGAAAGTGATTCTATGCATATACTCAAAAGGAACCATGGGTCTAATTTTTTTGCCTGTTACAAACATATGCACAAGTTTGTTGTGGTGAAATAAAAAAACTATTTTTTAGAAAGTTTGTTTGTTTTGACTTTTTTAATTCGTGAATTTTTCAATTTAAAAAAAAAAAAAAATGTAAAAAAATTCGATACTTGTTAAAAAATATTTTTTTAAATCCAAAAAATGCTATTTTAATCAAAAAATTAATTTTTTTTTTGGAAAATTTTTTTAAAAATTTTGATTTTTTTCAATTCGTATTTTTTTTGTTTTAAAAAATGTTATTTTCACGAATTGAAAAATTTTTCTGGAAAAAAGAAATATTGAAAAAAATATTTTTGTAAAACAATTCTCAAATTATCGGATTTTTTTTTTCACTAATTGAAAAATGTTTTTAACCCAGGTTTTGAATGGTCAATGATAATATATGTTTTAGCTTAAAAAAGCTTAATAAATATGTTGTAGCATACTTTTAGGCGCTATACGTGTATGGTCGTTATTACACTGTTAATTGTTTGATGGAGTTTTATTTATTGTTTCAATGGCTGTTAAATGAAGTCGAGTGAGCGGGGCATGAAGCAGTGTCACTCAAATTCAAAACACAATGGCTCCTCTTTGATTGTTTCCCACATTATAAATAGTTTTTTTTTTCATTTCCTTTCAAAACTTTTTTAATTACATTCGAGTGATGCGGCACAGTGGTGATGATAGCAGTGCATCCGCTAGATATAAAGGAAACAATTTCAAAATAACTATTCAATTCAACCAAGTGGATCTGCTGCGATGATGTTGATATCGTAGCAGATCCACTTGGTTCCGTCGACAACAACGAGAAGATATTGACAGCTCATTGTTAAGCGTAAGAAAAAGAAATTTACCCCTTTTCCAATCAGCCAATCATTCAGCCACGCACACACACACCCTCCCACCTGCCATCCACCACCATCTTGTAACAGCGAACTGTCAAGTGTTGTGCCAACATGTTCGTT